CACTCCTGACTTATCATCGTCGTCCGCCCCCAGCATNGCTAGCGAAGGTGATGAAAAGGCCAAAACACAGTGGGAGAAGGTCGATGCTCAGTTATGTAGTATCCTGTGGCGATCTATTGATTCCAAGTTGATGCCCTTGTTCCGTCCATTCCAGACATATTATTTAGTTTGGGAAAAGGCTCGTAATTTATACACTAATGACATATCTCGTTTCTATGATGTAATATCGCGAATGACAAGCTTGAAGAAACAGGAATTGGATATGTCTACTTACTTGGGACAAGTACAGGGAGTCATGGAAGAATTTGAGACGATGATGTCAGTTTCTGCTAGTATTGAAAAGCAACAAGAGCAACGACAGAAGATGTTTCTAGTTCTTACACTCGCTGGACTCCCTAATGACCTTGATTCAGTACGTGACCAGATTTTGGCTAGTCCGACTCGTCCCCACAGTTGATGAATTATCTCTCGATTACTTCGCCTTGCTGCAGCACCAAGTCACCCAGTGAGTTCATCACAGACACTTGACTCATCTGTCCTCGTATCCCAGTCAGTGGACAATCGGGCATCTCATACTATGGAGAATAGACGAGGAGGAGGTCGTTTTGGAAGATCTAGACCCAAGTGCTCTTATTGTCATAAACTTGGACACACTCGTGACGTGTGCTATTCTTTACATGGTCGCCCACCCAAAAATGCTTATGTTGCTCAAACTGAGACTACAGGTAACCAGGGATTTTCTTTATCAGAAGGGGAGTATAATGAGTTCCTTCAGTATCGAGCAAGTAAGCAGACATCTCCACAAGTAGCCTCTGTTGCTCAGACTGATACTTCTGTTGCTGGTAATTCTTTTGCTTGTGTATCCCAGTCTAGTACTCTTGGACAATGGGTTGTGGACTCAGCCGCTTCTGATCATATCTCTGGTAATAAATCACTTTTGTCAAATATTGCGTATTCACAGTCTCTTCCCACTGTTACTTTAGCCAATGGGTCTCAAACCAAAGCAAAAGGAGTTGGACAAGCGAATCCCCTACCCTCTGTCACTCTAGATTTCGTTCTCTATGTCCCTGGCTGTCCTTTTAATCTTGCATCTGTTAGTCGTTTGACTCGTGCCCTCCATTGTGGTATATATTTTATTGATGATTCCTTTATTATGCAGGACCGCAGTACGGGGCAGACGATTGGAACAGGACTTGAATCAGAAGGCCTTTACTACCTTAACTCACTCAATTCCTCCAAGGCATGTCTAGTTACAGATCCTCCGGACCTAATTCACAGACGTTTAGGACATCCAAGCTTATCCAAGCTTCAGAAGATGGTGCCTAGTTTGTCTAGTTTATCTACATTAGAGTGTGAGTCATGTCAGCTCGGGAAACATACCCGAGCCTCCTTTCCTCGTAGTATTGAGAGTCATGCAGAGTCTGCTTTTTCTTTAGTTCATTCCGATATATGGGGTCCTAGTAGAGTCAGTTCAACCTTGGGATTTCGTTATTTTGTTAGTTTCATTGATGATCATTCAAGATGTACTTGGATTATCTTAATGAAAGATCGTTCTGAGTTGTTTTCTATATTCCAGAATTTTTGTGCTGAAATTAAAAATCAATTTGGTGTTTCTATTCGCACTTTTCGCAGTGATAATGCCTTAGAATATTTATCCTCTCAATTTCAGCAGTTTATGACTTCTCAAGGAATTATTCATCAGACCTCTTGTCCTTATACCCCTCAGCAAAATGGGGTTGCAGAGAGAAAGAATAGGCACATCATTGAGACTGCTCGCACACTTCTCATTGAATCTCATGTTCCGTTGCGTTTTTGGGGCGATGCAGTCTCACAGCTTGTTATTTAGTTAATCGGATGCCTTCCTCTCCCATCCAGAATCAGATACCGCATGCAGTATTGTTTCCCCAATCACCCTTATACTCTGTTCCCCCTCGTGTTTTTGGGAGCACTTGTTTCGTTCATAACTTAGCCCCTGGGAAAGATAAGTTAGCTCCTCGTGCTCTCAAGTGTGTCTTCCTTGGTTATTCTCGTGTTCAGGAGGGATATCGTTGTTACTCACCTGATCTTCGTAGGTACTTTATGTCCTCTGACGTCACATTTTTTGAGTCTAAACCTTTCTTTACTTCTTCTGACCATTCTGACCACCTTGCTATATCTGAGGTCTTACCTATACCGACCTTTAAGGAGTCTACTGTAGCTCCTCCTTCACCTTCCGCCACAGAAGTCTTACCCGAGTCTACTATAGCTCCTCCTTCACCTTCCGCTACAGAAGTCTTACCCATTCCAATCGTTAGGGAGTCTAGTGTGGCTCCTCCTAGACTCCCTGCCACAGGAACACCACTTTTGACATATCATCGTCTTCCGGACCCAGCATCAGGCCCAGCTGATTCACGTCCCGCACCTGACCCTGCTCCTACTGCGGACTTGTCTCTTCCTAGTACACCGATTGCACTTCGGAAAGGTATACAGACCACCCTTAATCCTAATCCCCATTATGTCGGTTTGAGTTATCATCGTTTGTCATCACCCTATTATGCTTTTCTATCTTCTTGGTCCTCTGTTTCCATCCCTAAGTCAACAGGTGAAGCATTGTCTCATCCAGGATGGCGACAGGCTATGATTGACGAGATGTCTGCTTTATATATGAGTGGTACTTGGGAGCTCGTCCCTCTTCCTTCGGGTAAATCTACTGTTGGTTGTCGTTGGGTGTATGCAGTCAAGGTTGGTCCGGATGGTAAGGTTAATCGTCTTAAGGCTCGTCTTGTTGCCAAGGGATATACTCAGATATTTGGGCTCGATTACAGTGATACCTTCTCTCCCGTGGCTAAGATAGCATCAGTCCGCCTTTTTCTATCCATGGCTGTTGTTCGCCATTGGCCCCTCTATCAGCTGGACATTAAGAATGCTTTTTTTACACGGTGACCTTGAGGATGAAGTTTATATGGAGCAACCACCTGGGTTTGTTGCTCAGGGGGAGTCTCGTGGCCTTGTATGTCGCTTGCGTCGGTCACTTTATGGTCTAAAGCAGTCTCCTCGAGCCTGGTTTGGTAAGTTCAGCACAGTTATTCGAGAATTTGGCATGATTCAGAGTGAAGCTGATCACTGTGTATTCTATCGGCATTCTGCCTCGAGTCTCTGTATTTATCTGGTGGTCTATGTTGACGACATTGTTATTACCGGCAATGACCAGGATGGTATTACTAAATTGAAGCAACATCTCTTTCAACACTTTCAGACTAAGGATCTGGGCAAACTAAAGTATTTTCTGGGTATTGAGGTCGCTCAGTCTAGCTCAGGTATTGTGATCTCACAACGAAAGTATGCCGTAGATATTCTTGAGGAGATAGGAATGACAGGTTGTAGACCTGTTGACACTCCGATGGATCCGAATTCTAAACTTCTGCCAGGACAGGGGGAGCCTCTTAGCGATCCTGCAAGATATAGACGGTTGGTTGGTAAATTAAATTACCTTACAGTGACAAGACCTGACATTTCCTTTTCTGTGAGTGTTGTGAGTCAGTTTATGGATTCTCCGTGTGATAGTCATTGGGATGCAGTTGTTCGCATTCTTCGGTATATAAAATCAGCTCCAGGCAAAGGTTTATTGTTTGAAGATCGAGGCCATGAGCAGATCGTTGGATACTCAGATGCTGATTGGGCAGGATCACCTTCTGATAGACATTCTACGTCTGGATATTGTGTCTTAGTAGGAGGAAATTTGGTGTCCTGGAAGAGCAAGAAACAGAATGTGGTTGCTCGGTCTAGTGCAGAAGCAGAATATCGAGCGATGACTATGGCCACATGTGAGCTAATTTGGATCAAACAGTTGCTCAAGGAGTTGAAATTTGGTGAGATTAGTCAAATGGGACTTGTGTGTGATAATCAAGCTGCTCTTCATATTGCGTCAAATCCAGTGTTCCATGAGAGAACTAAACACGTCGAGATTGACTGTCACTTTGTTAGAGAAAAGATACTCTCGGAAGATATTGCTACAAAATTTGTGAAGTCGAATGATCAGCTTGCAGATATTTTCACCAAGTCCCTCACTGGTCCTCGTATTAGTTATATATGTAACAAGCTCGGTACATATGATTTATATGCATCAGCTTGAGGGGGAGTGTTAGTTTCATTGTCTAAATAGTAGTAAATAACCCTAATCCCATATGTATTAAGAGTAGGACATGTATTGTATATATAGGGCTCATTGTATCATAGTCAATAATATATTTTCTCCCGTGTTTTCTCACAATTATCATATAAATATTATGAAAATTTAAGGGTCTTTTAATATATTTTGGCTTTAGGCCACAAAATTAGTTGAGCCGCCCCTGGGTGGGACCCTCGGCCCAGCCACCAAACTATATTCCAAATAATACCGAAGTGGGATTAGAGCATCATGTAAAGGCAGTATGATAAACCATGGTTTTTCTTCATGTCTGCAGCATTCGGTCAGCTTAATCAGTCAGCTATGACGGAAACGTAAAACTAAAAGGGGAAAAAACAAACAAAAGGCAATGCTATAAGCTTTTATTTATAACTTCCTAATGAATATGGTACAGAAATCTCTAGCCTTCCCAAACATCCGTCTTATATAATAATGCATAGCAGCAGCTGTGCACATTGAGAGATTTTTCCTTACTGGACTTGAGCACAGGTAATATACTTTATTCCAAACCCTTTTTTGCAGCATTGGTTCTTCAGTCGACCACTAAATACTAATTAGCCTACAGTAGCCATAGAAGTGATTCAAAAACAACAGGATGGAATTAGTACTATGCTTAGTACACTCTTCACTGGGATTGATCAAAGGCAAAAAGGAAAAGTATTATATTCAAGTCCAAAAGAAAACTAAATTACTTGCATGGAAAAAAATACTTGTGAAATTCAACACCCACAACAATTTGGCGAGGAGAAGGTTATGGTTTATAGTGATGGAAAACTGTTAGATCCACCAAAATAGGAAAGGATATGATTCGTAAAAGAGAGATAAGAAAACTCACAAGACAACTTAGTAGTCTTCATCTTCGGAATAAGAGCCATCGATGTATTGGTCATATATCTGATATTCTCCAAGACTCTGATCATCTTGCACTTCATCCACCCCTGCTGTACTGAATGGAAAATTACCAAAGAGCTCTTGCAAGTAATCTCTTGAAACATTATCGTGGTTTGTATCTGGGCAGCATATAGGAAACTTAAAATTTTGGGTAACTAATATCCGGCTCCAACAAAACCTTGGCACACAATTCCAGTGCTTATAAACCAGAAGTTCATGGCTAGAGGACCCTAGAAAGGAAAAGGAGAAAGGAAAATTGCTCTAAACCACAAAATTAGACCTTAGAGGTACTTGAGCATCAAAAGTAACATATTGATCACTCCATTTAATTTCCGTCTTCATCCAATGCAATGAGAGGAATGTCTATTTATGACCCAAAAAAAACTTCTCTTTTTTTTTATAACCATGGTATCCAAACCAGCTTGCACGCACCTCAACTAATTCGACAGGGCCAAAAAGAACTTTTCTTTTATCACACAAAAAGGAAAGCATCACTTTACAACACAATGATCTGTAACGACCCGACTAGTCATTTTGCATTCTAGCATTTCATTTCGTCATTTGAGACCGCGAGTAAGCTCATTTGATGTTTTATGACTTGATTATAAGGTAGATTTTGATTTTCGAGAGGTTCGGGAATGTTTTGGAAAATAAATTCTTATTTTGGAAGCTTTAAGTTGGAAGAGTTAACCATGGTTTGACTTTTGTGTAAACGACTCCGGATTGTGGATTTGAAGGTTCTTATAGGTTCTTATGATGATTTTGGAACTCGTAAGAATTTTTAGTTCGGGCCTCGGGTGGCTCAGGATTGATTCGACGCTTCTATTTGAAAGTTGAAATCTATGAACTTAAGAGAGTTGCATAACTTGGATTGATCATTGATTCTTGATTTTGATGTTATTATTTGTGTTTTGAGCCTTTCGATAAGTTTGAGTAAGGTATATGAACTTGTTAGAATGATTGGACAGGGACCGGAGGAGCTCGGGTGAGTTTCGGGGTGGTTTCGGATCATTTTGAGCTAAGTTGGTTGTTGGTTTTTCTATTGTCAATGATGCTCTTCTCGATCGCGAGGTGTGTGTCGCGATCGCGTAGAGGGAGAGTGGCAGGTGGAATTTTGTTCACCGCGATCGCGTGGAAGCTATCCGCGATCACGTAGGGTCGATTGGTGAAGTTTCGCAATCGCGAGCGTTATTACGCAATTGCGTAGTAGACTTCTGGGACTGGAGGTGTTACTCTCTGCGATCGGGTGTGCAAGGTTGCGAATGCATAAGTGTCTGCCAGTGACACTTCGTGATCACATAGGTGCGCCCATGCGATCGCGAACTCGATGCATTATTTGGTTCCAGGGTATTTTATGTCCAAAATTTTGAGAATTGTTCATTTTTCACTATTTTGAGTTTCAGAGAACGAGAGGAGGCAATTTTGGAGATGGATTTTGTGAGAAAGCACGGGAGAAAAATATATTATTAATCACTTGATTATAATACAATGAGTCCTATTTATAACTATATAAAATACATATCCTACTCCTATTCTATGTGGGACTAGGACTAATTACATATTAATTACATAACTATCTAACACTTCCCCTCAAACCGGCGCATACAAATCATATGTACCGAGCTTATTACATAAGTAACTAATACAAGGACCAGTGAGGGACTTGGTGAAAATATCTGCAAGCTTATCATTCGACTTCACAAACTTTGTAGCAATATCTCCTAAGAGTATCTTTTCACTAACGAAATGACAGTCAATCTCAATGTGCTAAGTTCTCTCATCGAACACAGGATTTGATGCAATATGAAGGGTAGCTTGATTATCATACACAAGTTCTATCTGGCTGATCTCACCAAACCTCAACTCCTTGAGAAACTGTTTGATCCAAATTAGCTCACATATTGCCATAGCCATTGCTCGATATTCTGCTTCTACACTAGACCGAGCAACCGCATTCTGTTTCTTGCTCTTCCAAGGTATCAAATTACCTCTTACTAGAACATAATATCCAAACGTAGAACATCTATCAAAAGGTGATCCTACCAATCAACATCTGAGGATCCAACGATCTGCTCATCACCTCTATCCTCAAACAATAATCCTTCGCCCGGAGTTGATTTTATATACCAAAAAATGAGGACAACTGCATCGCAATGACTATCACAGGGAGAACCCATAAATTGACTCACAACACTCACAAGAAAGGAAATGTCAGGTCTATTCACTATGAGGTAATTTAATTTACTAACCAGCCGCCTATATCTTGCAGGATCGCTAAGCTGCTCCACCTATCCTGGCAAAAGTTTAGAATTTGGAACCATAGGAGTGTCAAGAGGTCTACAACCTATCATTCCTGCCTCCTCAAGAATGTCTAAAGCATACTTCCGTTGTGAGATTACAATACAGCGACCTCAATACCTAGAAAATACTTTAATATACCCAGATCCTTAGCCTGAAAGTGCTGAAAGAGATGTTGCTTCAACTTAGTAATACCATCCTGATCATTGCCGGTAATAACAATACCACCAATATAAACCACCAGATAAATACAGATATTTGAAGCAGAATGCCGATAAAACAGAGAGTGATCGGCTTCACTACGAGTCACGGTGAACTCCTGAATAACTGTGCTGAACTTATAAAATCAGGTTTGAGGAGACTGTTTTAGACCATAGAGTGACTGGCGCAACCGACATGCAAAACCACTTGACTCCCCTAGAGCAACCTCAAGGTCACCGTAAAGAAAAATATTCTTAATGTCCAATTGATAGAGAAGCCAATGGCAAACAACAGTCATGGATAGGAAAAGGCGGACTGATGCAATTTTAGCCACGAGAGAGAAAGTATCATTGTAATTGAGCCCAAATATCAGAGTATACCTTTCGGCAACAAGATGAGCTTACGTCGATCAACCTGGCCATCTGGCCAACTTTGACTGCATACAACCAACGACAACCAATAGTAGATTTACCTGAAGGAAGAGGAACAAGCTCCCAAGTACCACTCGTATGTAAAGCAGAGATCTCGTTAATCATAGCTTGTCGCTATCCTAAATGAGACAGTGCTTCACCTGTAGACTTATGGATAGAAACAGAGGACAAAGATGATACAAACGCATAATGGGGTGATGATAGACGATGATAACTTAAACCGACATAATGGGGATTAGGATTAAGTGTGGTTTATCTACCTTTCTGAAGTGCAATCGGTGGAACAGTAGAAACAGGGTCAGGTGTAGGATGTGAATCATCTGGGCCTGATGCTAGGCGCAGACGACGCGATAAGTCAAGAATGGTATTCCCGTGGCAGGGGATCTAGGAAGAGCTACACTAGATTCTTCAACGGTTGGTATGGGTAAGACTTCTGTTACTGAAGGTATTGGCAGAGCTATAGCAAACTCCTCAAAAGTCGGTATAGGTAAGACCTTAGATATATCAAGGTGGTCAGAAGAGGTAAAGTAAGGTCTAGACTCAAAAAATGTGACATCAGCTGACATAAGGTACCTACGAAGATCAGGTGAGTAGCAACGATATCCCTTTTGAACACGAGAATAAAGGAAGACACATTTGAAACCACGATGAGCTAAATTATCTTTCCCCTGGGCTAAGTTATGAATGAAACATGTGCTCCCAAAAACACGAGGAGGAAAAAAATACAAGGGTGATAGGGGAAACAATACTGAATGCGGAATCTGATTCTGAATGGGAGATGACAGCATCCAATTAATCAAATAACAAGCTATAAGAAGTGATTGCCCCAAAAACGCAACGGAACATGAGATTCAATGAGAAGTGTGCGAGCAGTCTCAATGAGACACCTATTCTTTCTCTCCGCAACCCCATTCTACTGAGGGGTATAAAGACAAGATGTCTGATGAATAATACCTTGAGACGTCATAAACAGCTGAAACTGAGAGGATAAATATTCTAAGGCATTATCACTGGGAAAACTGCGAATAGAAATACCAAATTGATTTTTTATTTCCGCCCAAAAACTCGGGAATATAGAAAACAACTCAGAATGATCTTTCATTAAGAAAAGCCAAGTACATCTTGAATAAACTAACAAAATAACGAAATCCCATGGTTCAACTGACTCTACTAGGACCCCATATATCATAATGAACTAAAAAGAAAACAGACTCTGCATGACTCTCAACACTACACGGAAAGGTCATTCGGGTATGTTTTCCAAGCTGACACAACTCACAATCTAATGTAGACAAACTAGACAAACTAGGCACCATCTTCTGAAGCTTGGATAAACTCGAATGTCCTAAATGTCTGTGAATTAGGTCTGGAGCATCTGTAACTGGACATGCGTTGGAGAGATGTAGTGAGTTAGGTGGTAAAGGCCTTGTGATTCACGCTCTATGCCAATCGTATGTCCCGTACTGTGGTCCTGCATAATAAAGAATTATCAATATATACCACAATGGAAGGCACGAGTCAAACGACTAACAGATGCAAAACTAAAAAGACAGCTAATGACATAAAGAATAGACTCTAGAGTGACAGAATATAAGGGATTAGGTTGTCCAACTCCTTTTGCTTTAGTTTGGAACCCATTGGCTAAAGTAACCGTGGGAAGAGACTGTGAATGCACAACATTCGACAAAAAGTGATTTATTACCAGAGATATGATCAGAAGCGCCTGAGTCAATGACCCACGGTCCAAGAGTAATAGACTAGAAAACACAAGCAAAAGAATTACCAGCAACAGAAGAATCGGTCTGAGCAATCAAGGTTACTTGTCGAAATGTCTGCTTACTTGCTCGATACTGAAGGAACTCATTGTATTCCCTATCAGATAAAGAAAATCCCCGGTTACCTATAGTCTCGGTCTGAGCAACATATGCATTTTTGGGTGGTCGACCATGTAAAGAATAGCACAATTCACGAGCGTGTTCAATTTTATTACAATAAGAACACTTGGGTCGAGATCTTCCTAAACGACCTCCTCCTCGTCTATTCTCTATAGTTTGAGATGCCCGATTTTTCACTGTCTGGGATGCGAGAAAAGAGGAGTCAAATGTTTGTAATGAGATCACTGGGTAGCTGGGTGTTGCAGCCAGGTGAAGTAAAAGAGATATTAATTCATCAAATGTAGGGACAGTAGGACAAGCTAAAATCTGGTCACGTACTGAATCAGGGTCATCAGGAAGTCCCGAGTGTAAGAACTAGAAATATCTTCTGTCGTTGCTCTTGTTGCTTTTCAATACTAGCAAAAACTAGCATCTTCTCAAATTCTTCCATGACTGCATGTACTTGTCCTAAGTAAGTAGACATATTCGCAATATCACATCATAGAAACAAGATATGTCAGTGCATAAAGTGCAAGCTTTTTCCCAAACTAAATGACAAGTCTGGAATGGAAGAAACAAAGGCATCCGCTTGGGATCAATAAATCGCCACAAAATGCTACATAATTGAGCATCGATCTTTTTCCAAAGCGTTTTGGCCTTTTCATCTCCCTCACTAGCCTTTTTGGTTAAGTGATCTTGAACACCTTGACCCTTGCACCACAATTCAATGGAGGAAGGCCAAGCTAAATAGTTCAAACTTCCCATTAAGGGCTTTGAAGTAATCATGAAACTCGAATTTCCAAAACCTGTATTTTTAAAACCAAATATATCAAATCACAAAGACATCGTTGGATAGGAGAGAGGCCAAGAAACAAAATAAAAATAATCAATTGTATCTCGCTGAAACAGGGAAGAAAACATTGTTGCTGCCGGAAAAACATTGTTTCTGCCGGAAAAAACTATTGTAGCTGCCGAAAAAATTAAAAGTGAATGAAATAAAAAGAAAATATGATGGGCAGGCTCGGAATTGCAGGGGCAACACACTGTCCAAAAGAATTTTGCCAAAATCTGGTCGAAAACAGCCTCACGCGCCGGCGCGTGACATTGGAACCTCGCCGGAAAAAATTCTTCCGGCTGCGCGTAAGGGCGCATGGATGGTTTTCTGCCAGAGATTATTTTAAGGGTTGGTCGCCGGAGACTGATCTACTTCGCGGTGGTCTTAGTTTTTGCGTAACATTGACCAATAATATTTTTCTTACGGACAAACTTGTCTTTGCCGGAAAAAAGGGCTTTCGGTTGACTGATTTCTCTTCCCGAAGTCGCTGGAATTTATGACAGCAATAAATTTCTCACGGTAGCTTTGATACCAAGTGAGAAAGCACGGGAAAAAATATATTATTGATCTCTTGATTATAATACAATGAGCCCTATTTATAAACTATATACAATACATATCCTACTCTTATTCCATGTGGCACTAGAACTAATTACATATTAATTACATAACTATCTAAAAGATTTCACTCATATCTTGAGGTTAAGTGATTTCTACTTGATTTTGATCATATATCTTGATTCTCCATGGATTTTTACACTTAAAACCTGAAGTTCAAAGTGAAATTTTTGTCTACAATTTAAGAGAATGTATTTTAGGGTTTTGGACTCGGATTTGGAATCTAATCACATATTTGGACTCGTGAGATTATGCGTCATCGAGATTTGGTTTTGATTGCAAGTCTTGACCATGTGGGCCGGGGTTGACTTTTTGACTTTTTGGGATTTTTTCAAATATCGAGGCTTTATTGATTGGATTGCTTACTTTATCATTGTTTGACTCCCGTGAATGATATTTGTCTAGGTTTGGACTATTGGAGGTTAAGAACAAGGAAAAATCATGATTTGGGGTTGAAGACTAGCCCAGATAAGGTAAATATCTTGCTTAACCTCGACTTGAGGGAATGTTTTTCTAAAAATGGAATTACTTGCTACGTGCTATGTGTTTCAGGGGTAACGTATATGCGAGGTGACGGGCATATATGCGGATACCGAGGTTATACCATGTTTAGGGTGGATTCTAGACTTCCTTATGCTTTGACTGAATGTGTGTCATTCTTGACTCATGCTCTATTGATTCTTATGATTACGTGGTACAATTATTCATGCTAGAGATCATGTGTTAACTTATGACACCTTATTAGAGCCTGATGGGCTATTCTTGAGGTATGTTGTTATAGTTGATTTGGCCGTAGTCACAAGTTATAATGTGAGCACACATCTACACTTGTTATTCTTGTGATATGCCTTAAAATGTTGTACGACTACTTGAGTCTTCTTATTCATGTTAGAAATCATGTTTAGGCTTTTGATGCTTAATTGGACATAATGATCATTTGGAGGATAGATTACATTTGGAGTTGCAGTCATACGTCACATACATGCTTATATCATGCATAAAAATCATCTCTTATTCATATGCATACATCGCTGCATATGGTTCCCTAGTATGTACTGAGGTTATGGCACGTGAGTTGTACGCGCAGTTGAGATGATTATGGCATGAGGTTTTTGCCGTGCGGTTATTATGATATGGATATGGCATGAGGTTTCTGTCGTGCGATGATTGTGATATGAGATTGTTCTGGCATGAGGTCTTTGTCGGCATTGGACGTGCTAGTCACGATCCGTTCAGCGTGTAGATATGGATCCATTCCCATAGGATTGCCTTCTCATGTTTCTCTCTTAATAGCGTACACGCAGGTTGTGAGAAACCGACGAGTTTCTGATTAATTGTGATGAGGGATCCGATGTGATGAGTTATTGAGCATAAAGGTAGAAGCTTTGACCATCCAAGTGAATTCTTTATGCGCATTTTTCATGCATATCTTCTACACATGCTAGTTGATGCATTTTACATATGCATGGGACTTGTTAGTGAGTTGATGGACAATTGGAGGGTGTCGGATTGATGTAAAGGAAGAGTTTTCATCATACATTGACATGTTGGACTCATGTAAAGGTTTTCACATAAATGTTATTTGGAAATTGATATGGGATTGGATCTTTGTCATGTATAGACATTTTATATTCATGTTGAAGTATTAGAGTAAATACTACTTGGTGCATGTCTCTTTTGTATGCAAAATTGGTGCAATTGTATTTGCTTTGACCCGATTAATTGGAAAAGCATGCTTATTATATTCTTCTTCGATTGTGCATTTTATTATTGATATTCGTTGTTTCCTTGGTTGTTTCTTGGTTATATCTCTATTATTATATATGCTTATGAGCTGCACAGGTTATATAAATTGAGTATCTTTTGACTAAACCTCACCACTACATCGTTGAGGTTAGTCTTGATATTTGCTGAGTGCATGGGCTTGGTTGTACTCATACTACACTTCTGCACCTTGCGTGCAGATTTTGGAGTTGAGCTGTTGTGGAAGACGGAGTATAGCTTTGAAGATGTAACAATGTTCCAGTTGCAAGCTACCATTTTGTTCATGGTAGTTAGGACTTGTACTCCTGTTTATGTATACTTAAACAAATGTATTTTCTTCGTACTAGCGTTGTAAATCTAAGTCTTAGTGGCTCATGACTGTACCGCCAGTTCTTGGGGATAGTTGTTTTGATTTTTGCATATTTATAAAATTATTTACTTGATGACCTTCAATCAAACTGTGTTATATCTTGGTTGGCTTACCTAGCTGGTTGTGTTAGGTGTCATCACGACTTGGTGGGATTTTGGATCGTCTCACGTTTTCTCCCTAGTTTCTTCTGGTTGTTAGAACTAGGCTTTAAACCAGGACTCTACAAGATTTTACTAGATTGGGCCCAAGGAGATGGAAGAGCTAGAGTGACAATCTCAACCAAGGTTTGAATAACATAGGTGTCACTAAGTGAAATCTTCCCATCTACTGAAGCCTTGGACAGAGTTATCCAACACTTGTGCTGGTTGAGGTAGCTGATATAACATAGGTGTGCAAGTTCGTCCAAACCCCACTGTTATCTTCTTCTTTTTCTTAAGAAAAAAGACATTGACTAGACCGGTTGCTAAGCTTTCCAATAGAAACTAGCTACTCCCCTCTACCTTTATGTTCAATATCATGTAAACTATTGCAGATAGTTACTTATACTCCCTCTGTTTCAATTTATGTGAACCTATTTGACTGGGCACGGTGTTTAAGAAAAAAGAGTTGATTTTTGAACTTGTGGTGTAAAATGGGGCACATTGCATAAAGGTAAACTATTTTCAAATATGGAAAGGGGTCATTCTTTTTGGCACGGATTAAAAAGGAAATAGGTTCACATAAATTGAAACGGAGGGAGTATCTTTTTAAGACAACAACTTTTCATCTAGACTTCATGTAACTACAGCATTCTACCCTCTAGTTCTTCTTTATTAATTGCTCTCCTGCTTCTTTTGTCAGGGTGTGAGAACAAAAAACAAAATTATTAAGGATGAGTATCTGCAAATTTTCCTAGAAGAATCGTTTTTCCTATACTTCTTGAAAATCTCTTGCAGGTTTGCTGATCATTCAACTAATACCATCCATCAGCATGTAAGCATAAGAGAAGAATGACATAATAAGTCTGATTGAGCATGGTTTTGTTCCAAGGATACGTGGATCATCATGTATAGAGACCTCCCCTTCCTGGCCAACCTAAGAAGACAAGGCATTAGTTGACTTAACAATGAGAAGGATGCTTACCAGAAATTGCTTATGAATGCATCTCAAATATAAATATCATCTTACAAGGTCAAGAGGTTCGTATGCATCCATCTCATCTTCAACATTATCATCCTCAAAGTCATCTTCATCGTCTTCTAAATAATCAGGTTCATCAACTTCATTGTTTCCTGCTTGGTCATCGACTTCATTGTTTTCAGCTTCTGACATTTCAAGGAATTTATAGGAGAAAAACTTGAGTAAAGGGTCCGATGTGACTATAATGACAACTAGTTGGAAGATAAAAATATACCAAAAGTAAGGTAAAATCTGGAAGCCTGTAAGTACTCCAGAGAGCAAATCAGCTCTAGGGATAATTTTAGCTTTGATATTTGCAGTTTAGGAGTTTTAGAAAATACGACAGTTAGTTACATTAACAATTAAATTTCATGATAGATAATTACGTCAATGTTTAAGATTCATGATAGACTACAAATAACTCCAACTGTTTTCAACCTTTATGGACTTTTCCTTGCTCTTCAGGTCTTGTAACTTTCACACAAGTGTGAATCCTCTTCGACTTCTCAAAGCGGGCAGACACAGTTTTTAGTAAAGACTCCGCATCGGGATGAGGGCATACTGACATAAATCTCACAGCAATGCACAGTCTCAAGCAATCAAGAATATGAGAGGAGAACCATCCTGTTGTATTCTGCAAATAAAATTATCAGAAGAGAAGTACCATTGGTGATTGCTTCAAGTATTAGTCAGAATACACAAAGATAACTACATTTATGCAAATCGGAATTGTTTTAAGTACATAAGAAGTGAGTTACTAAAGGAAAACCCCCAGGGCCCAAACCCCCAAGAGGCAAAATCATCTGTCCTTTCCACCTATAATCTGTTGTTAACATCCTCTCAGAGAAATTACAAGGAAAAAGGCACCAGGCAGAGCATGTAGGATATACTTAAAATGTTCACAGTAAAACATTCAATCTGAAAACCAAAAATAAAGAAATAAAGAAAAAGACCAAGGTGAAAAAGAAGTATCAAGAGATAACATGAACGTGAGCACAATAAAATAAAAAAACTAAACAATCAGTCTCTAGTGGACAAATCTGTTTGCTTCTCTCCTGAACCAGATTGACTTCTAATCCTCAAGATTGTCAAGTCAATAGTTAGATTTGATTATCTTTCAGCACAAGAGATCTCATGAGCAGAAATATGACTTTTAGAATGAATGAGTGTGAGTATGCACACACGCAAATATGTTATCATCGCAAAGATAATGTTTTCATTTCTCCACTCACTCAATTGGTATTGACAGATGAATCGCAAAAGTCTTTTTGAACTTTCATGGGGAAAGGCAAACATGAAATTTGCTATATGAGAGCTATTCAGACTTAAGAGAATAGACCACTGGTCTAACTCAGCTCCAAAAAATTAGCACCAGAGGTGAGAATTGTCCAAAAAAATATAAAGAGACTACAACTATACCTTCGATCAATGTAGGACTCTAACACTCCCTCCCCTTCTACCCTAAGCTGCACATTAAAACTGGACATCTGGAATATGGATAACATAGTGGTGCCTAACATTAAGTAACACAACACCAGGGATAAGTTTGACTTAGTGACCCCAGCCTCACGTATTCCGCCCCAATTTAGAAACCAAGAAACCCATGCCTTCAAGTGGGCCATGTGACCAACTGTGTGCAGTGTGCTATAGCCCAAAAGCTAGCTAACTAAACCCTGTCTTCAAGAAGACTTAGAACTTAGGATTTTTCTACTCTGGTCCATATTAAGAAAATGGACATAGGACCTAACTCAAGCCCCAATGCTAGCTCGTGAGGTGAGGATTGTCCAAGACCATATAAAAGGACTACAATTTATACTCTCAACCAATTTGGAAATCTAACATCATAGCACACCAGAAAGCGGCGAAGAACAAAAGGTAACACAATATCGGGGACGTGTTTGGCTGTGATACCATGTTGAAGTGTGTCACCAACCCATCTAAGACACACTTTATGTATTTAATGATATCTTCAGCACGTTTCCTCACCTGCGGGCCTTGATTCTTTTCCATAGGTCAAATACGCAAAAATTTTGGCTTTTGGGGTTAATTAGTTCCAAAATTCATTTTCTTAACATGGTATCAACGTATCCAGAAGTTTTAGATTCAAGAAAGAGTCTACAGTCTATATGCAGAATTACTGCGGGACTCTAGAAACATTATTGTCCTGCCTTTTCAAAGAGACAACAAATTATTGAGATAAAGTGAATAGTCGAAGCATCACTCTGCTTCGTCCCTAAGTGAGAAACAAAGAAAATACGGAACAACATATCCATTAATTAAGAAACTACTTCATTATTTTATTAGTTTTCTACCATCATAAATTTATTATTCCAAGCAAATAGTAGACAAGAATTTACTATGTATACAGCAAAAAGTTACATACTTCCATTATCATAGTGGACAACATACACTTCAATCCTACTGAACAACTAAATGGTAATGGGGTTTCTGATTTGACGAAAGCAAGGGCATCACGAGCACCACAAACCATCCATGCATCAAAGTGTCTAGCATACAATAGCTTGTTGAAAAGAAATATTTTACTGAATGATAACATACATCGCAAGTTTCTTGATTTGAGGGTTTTCTGATTTCTTGTTGAATGTAGTTGTCCTTGAGTTCACAAAGTTGCAATGATATCTGACATTTATACGGAAAAACACGGAAAGCACATATATCATCCCATCTATGTTTCAAACTGCAGAAAAAAAGAAAATACGGCATAAAAAAGCCGATTAGCTGGCTATCATTATCCATTAGACCAAATCAAATCAGGTTTATGTATGAGGATCATGTTGGCTAGTTCAGCACTAATTTAGTTCTACCCTAGTTAAGCGATGTGAATATCAAAGAAAAAAGTATTAGAAAGAAGCCCTGCAGAAAAGAAGTTAGCAACCGGGAGAAATAATACACGAGAAAAATATTATTGATGTATTAAAATGATACAATGAGCCCTATTACTCCTACTACATGTGGGACTAGGACTAATTACACATAACTATCTAACACTTCTTCTCACGCCGGTGTGCACAAATCATATGTACCGTACTTGTTACATATGTAACTAATACGAGAAACAGTGAGGGACTTAATGAAAATATTAGCAAGATGATCACTCGACTTTATAAACTTTGTAGCAATATCCCCTGAGAGTATCTTTTCTCTGACAACGTAACATTCAATCTCAATGTGTTTAGTTCTCTCATGGAACACTGGATTTGATGCAATACGAAGGGCAGCTTGATTTTCACACACAAGTTCTATGTGGCTGATTTCAACAAATTTTCAACATGTTTGATCCAAACTAGCTCACATGTTGCCATAGCTATTGCTTGATATTCTGCTTCTGCACTGGACCGACCAACCACATTTTGTTTCTTGCTTTTCCAAGACACCAAATTACCTCCTACTAAAACACAATATCCAGACGTAGAACGTCTATCAGAAGGTGATCCTTCCCAATCAACATTTGAGTATCCAACGATCTGCTCATGGCCTCGATCCTCAAATAATAACCCTTTGCCTGGAGCTGACTTCACATACCGAAAAATGCGGACAACTTCATCCCAATGACTATCACAGGGAGAATCCATAAACTGACTTACAACACTCACAATAAAGGAAATGGCAGGTCTAGTCACTGTGAGGTAATTTAATTTACTAATCAGCCGCCTATATCTTGCAGGATCGCTAAGTGGCTCCCCCTGTTCTGGCAGAAGTTTAGAGTTAGGACCCATCAAAGTGTCAACAGGTCTACAGCATGGCATTCATGTCTCCTCAAGAATGTCTAAGGTGTACTTCCGTTGTGAGATCACAATACCTGAGCTAGACTGAGTGACCTCAATACTTAGAAAATACTTTAATCTGCCCGGACCCTTAGTCTGAAAGTGTTGAAAGAGATGTAGCTTCAACTTAGTAATATCATCCTGATCATTGCCTGTAATAACAATATCGTCAACACAAACCACCAGATAAATACAGAGATTTGAAGCAGAATGTCAATAAAACACAGAGTGATCAGTTTCACTACGAGTCATGACAAACTCCCGGATAACTGTGTTGAAACTTACCAAACCTGACTCAGGGAGACTGCTTTAGACCATAAAGTGACCAGCGCAAGCGACATAAAAGGCCACTAGACTCTCCTGGAGCAACAAAACCAGGTGGTTGCTCCATATAAACTTCATCCTTAAGATAACCATGAAGAAAAACATTCTTAATGTCCAACTGATAGAGAGGCCAATGGCGAACAGCAACCATGGATAGAAAAATGTGGACTGATGCTATTTTAGCCATGGGAGAGAAAGTATTACTGTAATCGAGCCCAAATATCTGAGTATATCCTTTAGCAACAAGACGGACCTTAAGTCGATCAACCTGGCCATCCGGACCAACTTTGACTGCATGAACCCAACGACAACGAACAATAGATTTACCTGAAGGAAGAGGAACAAGCTCTCAAGTACCACTAATATGTAAAGCAGACATCTCGTCAATCATAGCATGTCGCCATCCTGGATGAGACAACGCTTCACTTGTAGACTTAGGGATGCAAACAGAGGACAAAGGAGACACAAGCATAATGGGGTGATGATAGACGATGATAACTTAAATCAACATAATAGGGATTAGGATTAAGTATGGTCCGTATACCTTTCCGAAGTGCAATCAGTGGACTAGGAGAAGACAAGTCTGCATAGGAGCAGGGTCAGGTGCAGGACGTGAATCAGCTGGGCCTGATGCTAGGAGTGGACGACGATAAGTCAAGAGTGGTGTTCCTGTGGTTGGGGATCTAGAAGGAGCAACATTAGACTCCTCAACGGTTGGTATAGGTAAGACTTCTATGGCTGAGGGTGTAGGAGGAGCTATAGTAAACTCCTCAAAAATTGGTATAGGTAAGACATCAAATATATCAAGGTGGTCAGAAGAGGTAAAGTAAGGTCTAGACTCAAAAAATATGACGTCAGCTGACATAAGGTACCTACGAAGATCAGGTGAGCAACAACGATATCCTTTCTGAACACGAGAATGACCAAGGAAAACATACTTGAGAGCACAAGGAGCTAATTTATCTTTCCTAGGGGCTAAGTTATGAACGAAACATGTGCTCCCAAAAACACGAGGGGGAAGAGAGTATAAGGGTGACCGGGAAAACAATACTGAATGCGAAATCTGATTCTTGATGAGAGATGAAGGCATCTGATTAATCAAATAACAAACTATGAGAACTGCATCGCCCCAAAAACGCAATGGAATATCAGACTCAATGAGAAGTGTGCGAGCAGTCTCAATATCTCCATATTTTCTGCCTAATCAAAAGGAAATTTGAAGAAAATTGCTGAAAAATAATATGCCTTGCCGGAAACCAAATCTGTCTTGGCGGAACCTTAACTCTGATTAAGTAAAATCAAAACTGGTAGGGACAGGCTCGGAAAATTCCAGCGATCCCAATAGAAAAGAAAATTCCAAAAAAAACTGACGAAAAGGAGTTTGTGTTGCCGACAACCATTAAGAGAGAGAAAACTCGATCTCTTTGATAAAAACAAAATCCTAGTGCTGCGAGGGAGATAATTCACCTCAAAAAGGCAGCAATGGCTTTGATACCACGTAGATTTTGAGAAGAATAAAAGGCTTATTGTATTTTTGTGTGTGTTTACATTCCATGAGCAAGGAAATTTATACAAAGCTCCTAATGCTAATTAAGGGGGAAAAAATATATAAAATCAGTCCAGCTATCAAATCAAATCAAATAAAATTAAATATTCTAAGTATAATCAGATCTCCCTGAAATAATGCTAATCAACAATCTCCTAAATATAATCAAAACTCTTGAAATCATGCTAATCAACAAGCATGCCATGGATTCACAACTTCTTTTGGAATGAAATACTGTACATGTTAGGGGAAGTAATACTCAAAATGTTACTTTCACACCATCTGTGTCCCCCAAAACTCACTCTACTCCTATCCCCACCATATATGATACATTATCATTAAACTCTTCCTAACCCTTTAAAATATTCCTCGATAACCCATACCCATATGGGAGTGTAATATTTTTGGTTCTCCCTCCCCATCCCAAAACCCCACATTTCTCCACAATCACCTCTTCCAAAAGCATTCTCCTGTACGCCAAATCTCCATAACCACTTCCCAAGTAACACCTTAATACTTATGTGAACCTGAAGTGGGAGCAAAAAAGGCAAATTGAAAGGAAAAATGAATTAAGTTAATTTCTTCACATGTTAATGAAATGCAATCCATTGATTAAACATTCTAGAGAAATGAATTTCTGAAAGTTGGTATTGCGGGTGAACAATAAGGGAAAGATGTCGATCACTTAGTGTTGCATCATAGAGTGGCCTCAGAATTTTGGGCAGGGGTATTCTCATAATAAAACTGAAACACATACCTCACCCGAACACAATGCAAGTTGGAGGTTAAGGAAGCTCGATCACATAAAGCAGCAATAAAGATACCATTGTAAAGAAAATGAACCTAGGGTCTAACTCTTTCCCCCAAAAGCTAACCCATGAGGTAAAACTTACCCAAATTTGTAAAAGGAGACAACAATACATTCACTCCATCAAAGTGAGACACTCTAAACCCCTTGCACGCTCGAACTTGGACAACTAGAGCATACATAACATAAAGGCCCAAAATTCTAAAACATAACAGGATGGCTATGGCTCTAATATCATGTTAAGAAAATGGAATTTGGGGCTAACTCAATTTGAAAAACTAGCCGTAAGGTGAGGATTGTCTAAAATAACATAAAGAGACAGTATCTCATTTCCTGAACTAATATGAGACACTCTAACACCCTATGCATGTCCGGAACTGGACATTTGGAGTGTGGACGATATAATATGAGGGCCTAACATTAGGTAAATCAAGATTAGGAATGGTCGGCTCTAATACCATATTATAAAATGGACCTTAGACCTAACTCAACCTCAAAAGCTAGCTCATAAACTAGGTTTAACTGAGACCATATAAAAAGGCAACATCCCATTCCCTCAACTAAGCGGGACATTCTACCACACCTGGAATGCTTAGGGATGGCATCTGGAGCATGGAGAATACGACACGAGACCTCAACATTGGGTAAATCCATAATAGTGATGTGTTTGGCTGCGGTATCTGTAAAGAAGATGGACATTAGGTATAACTCAACTCTAAAAGCTATCTCTTAATTTGAAAATTTCCCAAAATCATGTAGGGAAACCGCAGCTCATTCCCTCAACTAACAGGGTACATTCTAGTAGCCATTATGCCTTTTTGGTTGACAATGTGGAATGGAAAGAACAGCAGGATTTCAAGGCAATGGCAAGTGTTGAGTCCCACATCAATGGAATTTAGGTTTCTTGGTCTCCTTATATGGTCTTGGACAATCCTCACCTCATAAGCTAGCTTTTGGGGTTGAGTTAGACCCAAGGTCCATTTATTATGGTATCATAGCCAGGCCTATCTCAATTTATTGTTACAGATGTTGGGCCTCCATTTATAATGTCCACGCTTCAGTTTGCAAGACTGGGCGTGAGGGGGAGGGGGGTGTTAAGTCCAACATCGGTGGGATTTGGGTTTCTTGGTCTCCTTATATGGTCTTGGGCAATCCTCACCTCATAAGCTAGATTTTGGGGTTCAGTTAGGCTCAAGGTCCATTTATCAGCAAGAATTCAAGGATTGTAAAGGATTCTTTCTTTTTTCATTTCACTTATTTGGTGTAAAAAGGAACAGTTTGTCAAAAGATCAAGACTAGCATGCAGTCTTACATTGTACATATATATTTTGGCCCTCTTTTGGCATAAATGAAATGATATTTGACTAACTGAAAAGAAAATTTAAGAGACTTTTACTTGAAACATTTGAAGTTTCCCATAATTACAAGATCCCTCTATGTCAATAACTATATAATCCTTTTAGTACTATACTATTACTTGCGGTGGCCCTTTGACTGTTTGACCAACTCAAGCAAGATCAAAATATACAAATATAGAGAAATTATTTTTCTCTCAACTTCTGAGTTAGTCACAAGTAGGGGTGGCAAAATGGTTAAAAGAAAAGAGTTAACCACCCATATTATCCACTAAAAAATGGGTTGGATAATGAACTTTTTAAAAACGGGTCAAATATGGATAAGAAACATATTATCCATTTAGAAAATGAATAACCAATGAGTAACCAATGGATAACCAATGGGTCTAACTTTTACGTTTGTAAAGCCTCAAATTGGGGGTTCCTCAAGTTAAGGAGACTAAGAATTCTCCCAAAAGTGATCATATACAAGAAGTCATGGACCCATATTATCCGCCGGTTAACCTGTTTTTTATCCGTATTAAATATGGTTCAGGTCGGATAATTGATCCGTTTTTTCATTACCCGTTTCCGACCCGAACCATATCCGACCCAACCCGCCCGTTTGCCACTGCTAGTCACAAGAAATTAGTTTGATCAAAAGATAGAGAAAGAAAAGATAAGCAAGTCGTTTCAAGCTGTATCCTTATGGTCCTCTGACTTTTTACCGCTACTAACAGATAACAAAAATTTTGGGTGACGATGGGTGGCAGGCGAGACTCGTATTTCCTACCGCATCTCTCCTATCCCCTTACTTGATGCAACGAGTGAGAACTTAAAGTCTATGGACTGATTTTGAGAGGTAATATCTCTTACTGACCATTTTCATTTGAATGTAATTTAGATGCTCTCTGAACCGAAACTCGGTGCGGCCATGACCACTGTAAAAGCAAGGGGCAGTTTTACAGCGCAATCTCTAAACATATGGCTCCTCATAATGATTCATAGATCATGAAGACAGGAAATGATAGCAATTCTAAATGCACCACACGGCTAGCCACATGATTGTCGTTTTCATGTTAACTTTAGCTAAATAAGCTAAAGGAAATTAATGTTTATCAATCTACTTAACTTAATAACTCGCCAAAATTTACTCCAGTTTAGTCAGCAGAACACAACTCAAATAACTTGCATACCTTTTCCATCTGAACCAAACCTAACTATTTAAAGAGCTTGTAATACATTTCCCATCTGAAACCAGACCTATAGGACATATCTTGAGGTACTTCGGAAAAAGCCAGAAAGTGCACTTCGCGCACCAAGCAAGCTTCTTTTAGTTTTAGATAATATAAATTCGAAGACGGATAAGGTTCAATGTGAGATGAAGATTACAGCATTCTCAACTACCGAGAGCTCATAGAGATATTTAAATTCTAAGAAACACATAAGTGATATGAAGTTGTGAGCAGATTCAGTACCCAGAAGACGCATGACTCTCACAGTAGCTTCGTAATTCAGGGAGCACTCGGAAATCAATATTCTGGTATCTGTTAAACAAATTGCAAGAAGTAAGCACAAGCATAATGAAGAGTTCGAAAAAATTGCACCTAAAACTAACGTGTTAAAATTGATTCCAAGTACCTTAAGCAACACAAGAACAAGAAAAGTGCAAATTAGATACAAATGGATCACACACCTTTGGTTGATCCCACTTGTGGGGAAGAGGAATCAGCTCTATGTCAGAGGAAGAAGACAAATTGGAAGGGACAAATAAAGAGGGGAACAAAGGAGAAAATGGATAGAAATTCCATCTCTAGGATAAATCAACTAAATTTGGTCAGTTTCGTAATCTATATTCGAAAATATTTTACGCGAACTAAAATGTGTGCAGTCATAGAATTTCTGTCACCCTCTCCTAACCTCTCTCTCAATTGCAGATGCCACCTCTTAAAGCAAAAATTTACTGTTTTCCCAAGGTTTGCATGGGTATATACAACAGAACTATTAACAAGCAAGTGGAAAGATACATTTTCGATGACATATGAGACAAAAACTCTAATAAATCAGGGACAAGGGGGACAAAGCTCAGAAATCATCATTAGTGAATAAATATAACTAAGTGAAATCCACAAGGAAAACATTTCTTTGATAAGTAGCAGTAAAAGATTACAAGAAAAGATTACTGTTTCATTCTTACATGCGGGATTCAGGATCCTTCCGAGGATCATAACCTTTCCTTATCCAGAATCTACGGAAAGGCCCACTCGAAAAGTAATATGCTACTCTAAAGAGAAGCCTGCATAATGACAGAGATATACCAAAAATTTATACTATGAACAGTATCATTTCCAAGACTTAATCCAAATGATAGAAGTGAAGACTGTATAAGAATTTCATATGCTACCTTTTGATCCTGCCCTCTCCAAGCTTCAGACCCTCATCACGCAAGCGCTCAGCTAATGATTCTTTGACCCATATTTGACGCTCTTCAAACAATTCAGATACCACCTTCTGCCGTCTCCAATCTTCTGATCCCTGAAGTATGTGCTTTTCCCAATCCACTGGTTTAGGAATCTGTATGAATGTTAAGCAGAACAACCAGGCAGCTGCAATACCATCATACTGCAGAGTGACTTTATTGTTTTATGTGTTTGTCTTTGTTGAATAAGATGTCAAGTATCCGTCTTTTCAAGATAATATAATCTTCAGTAGACTTCTCTTCAGGGATGAAGAAAAGTGCAATTAATGAGTGGCAGCAGAGTTAGTAATGAAAGAGCTTCCCAATGTATTATTTGCTGATGACTCCCACCATGATTTTACCAAGCCAACAAACTCTTTCACCTTAAAACATGAAGTACGAGGGCTTATTTTCCCATTTGCTGCACTTCAACAATAGAGGATGCCTGACCAGTGCATAAAAGAAGAAAAAAAAGCTGATCTCGCCGGAAAAGCGAAACTTGTCCTCGCTGTAGCAACAGAACAAGCTGAAACCTGGGCGGGCGGAGTCGAATTCAAGACGCGACCCCCCGAGAGTGAAAACCGTGGTTGGGATGTGGCTGGAAAAGCCTGCACGCACCAGCGCAGGCACATGCCACGCATGGAGGGCCCTATGGTAGTGGGCTTTCTTGGCTAGGGTTGCAGGAAGTTATGAGTCTACTGGTGGTACTCCTACACGCACAATGTCCCTAGAAAGTATAGTAACCTCGAACAGATGCATTTAGTTGCCGGACAATTCCATGACAACAGGATATCTCTCATGTATATGTCACTGATCACTGTACAGTGTCTACTAACCTCACTAGATGCTCTGATACCATATGAGAAAGCAGGACAAGGAAGTAAGAATTGAGAGAAACTCTGTTTGATTATTCCCTCAAGCTATAGGGTTTTAAAATAGTAAAGCATACATGTTCTAAACTAGGAAAGCAAATCAAGAATTACATAATTACAGGAAACTAATAATCCTAATTAATTTGTTCTGATCCTAATTGATATACAGTATATTTGAAATATCCTTAAGAACATCGATCACAATAATTTACAGAGGGAGGGGAAAAGTACCCTTTTCGTGGTGCACTTTGGTAGAAATAAGGCAACAAAAGTTTTCAATGGACTAGCTTAAGAGATACTTTCAAGGAGATTGGAAGGTACTTTCACGAGCTTCTATTTTCTATGTATCGTAGCTCCAAGATACTGTTTCAATCCTCATTAATCCTACTTGTATTGATGAAAAAAGTTGTTTCTCTCATCCCAAAAGAAATAATCAAAGTTGAAAAAAAGCTTTGAGGTCTCCCTTATATAGGTCATGGAAAGTGCTTCTAAGCAAGGGTTGTTTTAGATACATTGAAAATGGAAAGGTGGAGAAGAAATTATCAGAGTCTAACAACAGACACAGAACTAATACTGATGCACTGCTCAGACACTTAAGGATATCTTTGATATTAACATCAAGGTTAAGACTCTGCTCCATCTCCCTCTACATTGAAAAAGAAATAAAAATTCATCAGTAAAATATTAGTGTGATAAGAGTTCGAAGAACATATGGAGCATGTCAAGTAAAAGAATATGGAGTATGTCAAGTATGCAGCTCTGGAAATGCTAAGGGAAGTGAAGATAAAATAATTCATAATGGCCTCAGCACGTAAGCAGACAAATAAGAAAGAGTTGAAAAAACAATTGAAATGTCCAAAAAAATCAGTCAATACATAGAGAAAAAAGACACAACAAGGTGAAACTGACTACCCTTATGTTGTTTATAGAGTAGCAATAAATGGATCAATGAGCAGAAGTAAGAGAAATTGATTATCTGGCATTGTTCATGAAGCCTGTTAGAATAGTTATGTAAATAAAAGTAAATAACCCTAATCCCATATGTATTAGGAGTAGGACATGTTATGTATATATATATATATATATAGGGCTCATTGTATCGTTTTTTTACACAAGAGAATTATCAAACATAGATTTTTCTCCGTGCATTCTCACATGATATCAGAGCGACAGTGGGAAAACATCCGGGAAAAAAAAACCCAGCCGTCGCCGTGCTTCAATTCCGGTGACTTTTTAGGGCTATTTTTCGTCAAAAACAATTCCGTCGGTGTTGTGCAAAAACCAACACCACCACAAGGTCCCCCAACCTCCGGCGACCAAACCCCAGCAAACACCTCCGTCATACGCGCCGCCCGGAACAGTCAACCTCCGGTGAGATCTACTCCACGCGCCGGCGCGTGGAGCCCGTTCCGTCCATTTTTTCAGAAAACTCCTTTAGGACAGTCTGATCGCCCAACCATTCCGAGCCTATCCATAATTTTATTTTTTTTAATTCCGACCACTTTGAGTTTTTCCGGCGACTACACTGATTTTTTCCGGCAGCTACAGTAATTTTCCGGCAAAAACAGTGTTTCCTTCATCTGTTTCAGCGAGTTGTCAGTTGATTCTTTCTGTTATTTGGTGATAATCCAACGATGTCTTTGGGAGTCGATGCTTTCGGGTCTAAAAACCCGGGTTCTGGCAGTTCCGGTGTTATGATTACCTCAGAACCTTTAATGGGAGGTTCAAACTACTTAGCTTGAGCTTCGTCTGTCGAGTTGTAGTGTAAAGGTCAAGGAGTTCAAGATCATTTAACAAAAAAGGCTAGCGAAGGTGATGAAAAGGCCAAAACACTGTGGGAGAAGGTCGATGCTCAGTTATGTAGTATCCTGTGGCGATCTATTGATTCCAAGTTGATGCCCTTGTTCCGTCCATTCCAGACATATTATTTAGTTTGGGAAAAGGCTCGTAATTTATACACTAATGACATATCTCGTTTCTATGATGTAATATCGCGAATGACAAGCTTGAAGAAACAGGAATTGGATATGTCTACTTACTTGGGACAAGTACAGGGAGTCATGGAAGAATTTGAGACGATGATGTCAGTTTCTGCTAGTATTGAAAAGCAACAAGAGCAACGACAGAAGATGTTTCTAGTTCTTACACTCGCTGGACTCCCTAATGACCTTGATTCAGTACGTGACCAGATTTTGGCTAGTCCGACTGTCCCCACAGTTGATGAATTATTCTCTCGATTACTTCGCCTTGCTGCAGCACCAAGTCACCCAGTGAGTTCATCACAGACACTTGACTCATCTGTCCTCGTATCCCAGTCAGTGGACAATCGGGCATCTCATACTATGGAGAATAGACGAGGAGGAGGTCGTTTTGGAAGATCTAGACCCAAGTGCTCTTATTGTCATAAACTTGGACACACTCGTGACGTGTGCTATTCTTTACATGGTCGCCCACCCAAAAATGCTTATGTTGCTCAAACTGAGACTACAGGTAACCAGGGATTTTCTTTATCAGAAGGGGAGTATAATGAGTTCCTTCAGTATCGAGCAAGTAAGCAGACATCTCCACAAGTAGCCTCTGTTGCTCAGACTGATACTTCTGTTGCTGGTAATTCTTTTGCTTGTGTTTCCCAGTCTAGTACTCTTGGACAATGGGTTGTGGACTCAGCCGCTTCTGGTCATATCTCTGGTAATAAATCACTTTTGTCAAATATTGCGTATTCACAGTCTCTTCCCACTGTTACTTTAGCCAATGGGTCTCAAACTAAAGCAAAAGGAGTTGGACAAGCGAATCCCCTACCCTCTGTCACTCTAGATTCCGTTCTTTATGTCCCTAGCTGTCCTTTTAATCTTGCATCCGTTAGTCGTTTGACTCGTGCCCTCCATTGTGGTATATATTTTATTGATGATTCTTTTATTATGCAGGATCGCAGTACGGGAGAGACGATTGGAACAAGACTTGAATCAGAAGGCCTTTACTACCTTAACTCACTCAATTCCTCCAAGGCATGTCTAGCTACAGATCCTCTGGACCTAATTCACAAACGTTTAGGACATCCAAGCTTATCCAAGCTTTAGAAGATGGTGCCTAGTTTGTCTAGTTTATCTACATTAGAGTGTGAGTCATGTCAGCTCGGGAAACATATCCGAGCCTCCTTTCCTCGTAGTATTGAGAGTCATGCATAATCTGTTTTTTCTTTAGTTTATTCTGATATATGGGGTCCTAGTAGAGTGAGTTCAACCTTGGGATTTCGTTATTTGTTAGTTTCATTGATGATCATTCAAGATGTACTTGGATTTTCTTAATGAAAGATCGTTCTGAGTTGTTTTCTATATTCCAGAATTTTTGTGCTAAAATTAAAAATCAATTTGGTGTTTCTATTCGCACTTTTCGCAGTGATAATGCCTTAGAATATTTATCCTCTCAATTTCAGCAGTTTATGACTTCTTAAGGAATTATTCATCAGACGTCTTGTCCTTATACCCCTCAGCAAAATGGGGTTACAGAGAGAAAGAATAGGCTGCTCGCACACTTCTCACTTTGAATCTCATGTTCCGTTGCGTTTTTGGGGCGATGACAGTTCTCACTAGCTTGTTATTTGGTTAATCGGTATGCCTTCATCTCCCATCCAGAATCAGATTTTCGATTGCAGTATTGTTTCCCCAGTCACCCTTATACTCTGTTCCCCTCGTGTTTTTGGGAGCACTTGTTTCGTTTATAACTTAGCCCCTGGAAAGATAAGTTAGCTCCTCGTGCTCTCAAGTGTGTCTTCCTTGGTTATTCTTGTGTTCAGAAGGGATATCGTTGTTACTCACCTGATCTCATATTTTTTTAGTCTAAACCTTTCTTTACCTCTTATGACCATTCTGACCACCTTGATATATCTGAGGTCTTACCTATACCAACCTTTAAGGAGTCTACTATAGCTCCTCCTTCACCTTCCGTCACAGAAGTCTTACCCATTCCAACCATTGGGGAGTCTAGTGTGGCTCCTCCTAGACTCCCTGCCACAGGAACACCACTCTTGACATATCATCGTTGTCCGCACCCGGCATCAGGCCCAGCTTATTCACGTCCTGCACCTGACCCTGCTCCTACTGCGGACTTGTCTCTTCCTAGTACACCGATTGCACTTCGGAAAGGTATACGGACAACCATTAATCCTAATCCCCATTATGTCGGTTTAAGTTATCATCGTTTGTCATCACCCTATTATGCTTTTCTATCTTCTTTGTCCTCTGTTTACATCCCTAAGTCTACAGGTGAAGCATTGTCTCATCCAGGATGACGATAGGCTATGAGTGACGAGATGTCTGCTTTACATACAAGTGGTACTTGGGAGCTCGTCCCTCTTCATTCCTGTTGGTTGTCGCTGGGTATATGCAATCAAAGTTGGTCCGAATGGCAAGATTGATCACCTTAAGGCCCGTCTTGTTGCCAAAGGATATACTCAGATATTTGGGCTCGATTACAGTGATATCTTCTCTCCCGTGGCTAAGGTAGCATCAGTCCGCCTTTTGCTATCCATGGCTGCTGTTCGCCATTGGCCCCTCTATCAGCTGGACATTAAGAATGCCTTTTTACACGGTGACCTTGAGGATGAAGTTTATATGGAGCAACCACCTGGGTTTGTTGCTCAGGGGGAGTCTCGTGGCCTTGTATGTCGCTTGCGCCGGTCACTTTATGGTCTAAAGCAGTCTCCTCGAGCCTGATTTGGTAAGTTCAGCACAGTTATCCAGGAGTTTGGCATGACTCGGAGTGAAGCTGATCACTCTGTATTTTATCGGCATTCTGCTTCGAGTCTCTGTATTTATCTGGTCGTCTATGTTGACGATATTGTTATTACCGGCAATGATCAGGATGGTATTACTAAATTGAAGCAACATCTCTCTCAACACTTTCAGACTAAGGACCTGGGCAAACTAAAGTATTTCTGGGTATTGAGGTCGCTCAGTCTAGCTCAGGTATTGTGATCTCACAACGGAAGTATGCCTTAGATATTCTTGAGGAAACAGAATGACAGGTTGTAGACCTGTTGACACTCCGATGGATCCGAATTCTAAACTTCTGCCAGGACAGGGGGAGCCTCTTAGCGATCCTGCAAGATATAGACGGTTGGTTGGTAAATTAAATTACCTTACAGTGACAAGACCTGACATTTCCTTTTCTGTGAGTGTTGTGAGTCAGTTTATGGATTCTCCGTGTGATAGTCATTGGGATGCAGTTGTTCGCATTCTTCGGTATATAAAATCAGCTCCAGGCAAAGGTTTATTGTTTGAAGATCGAGGCCATGAGCAGATCGTTGGATACTCAGATGCTGATTGGGCAGGATCACCTTCTGATAGACATTCTACGTCTGGATATTGTGTCTTAGTAGGAGGAAATTTGGTGTCCTGGAAGAGCAAGAAACAGAATGTGGTTGCTCGGTCTAGTGCAGAAGCAGAATATCGAGCGATGACTATGGCCACATGTGAGCTAATTTGGATCAAACAGTTGCTCAAGGAGTTGAAATTTGGTGAGATTAGTCAAATGGGACTTGTGTGTGATAATCAAGCTGCTCTTCATATTGCGTCAAATCCAGTGTTCCATGAGAGAACTAAACACGTTGAGATTGACTGTCACTTTGTCAGAGAAAAGATACTCTCGGGAGATATTGCTACAAAGTTTGTGAAGTCAAATGATCAGCTTGCAGATATTTTCACCAAGTCCCTCACTGGTCCTCGAATTAACTACATATGTAACAAGCTCGGTACATATGATTTATATGCACCAGCTTGAGGGGGAGTGTTAGAATAGTTATGTAAATAAAAGTAAATAACCCTAATCTCATATGTATTAGGAGTAGGACATGTTATGTATATATATATATATATATAGGGCTCATTGTATCGTTTTTTTACACAAGAGAATAATATCAAACATAGATTTTTCTCCGTGCATTCTCACAAAGCCACTAAAAGTTCTTAAAGAGAACTAAAGATGTCAATATGCCTTATGGGTGTGGGTTATGGAGGAATATTATGAAGGTCTGTGTCGAATTTAGTGGCAATATATCACTCAGGGTAGGTGATGGGAGGAGAGTTAGTTTTTGGGGGCATAAATGGTGTGGGGATAACATGTTGAAAGAGAAAGTCCCGAGCATTTACAGGGTTTCACGTTAAAAGGGGCTGACAGTCCAACAAATTCGGGCGTACAAGGTGAAAAGGTTTTTTGGGATTTGAAGTTCAGAAGGGATTTCCACAATTGAGAGGTGACTGAGTTCCAAAGATTGCTAGCTTTACTTCAAGGTACGTTATTAGATAGCCATGATACTTTCAGGTGGGATTTGGGGAATAACAAAGTGTTCTCTATTAAGTCGTTCTATGAAAAGTTCTTGGTTAGGGAGGAGGACGCCTTTCCATATAATTCATCAGGATTCCTAAGGTGCCTAGGAAGGTGTGCTTACTTGGTTAGCAGCCAGAGGGGGGATCTTGACGGCCGAAAATCTCAGAAAGCGAAAGGTTGTTTGCGTCAATTGGTGCTACATGTGTAAGGAGGCAGGTGAAGATGTGGATCATCTTCTTCTACATTGCAGTCCAGTAGTGATGGGGGATATGTGTAGTTGGTACGGTGCCTCATAGGTGATGCCAAGAACAGTAAGAGAACCGATGTCTAGCTGGAAGAGTGGGAGAGGAGGAGAAGGCGCAAGGCATAAAATGTTGCTCCACCTGCAATCATGTGGGTCATTTGGAGAGAGAAAAATTGAAGAGCTTTTGAAGGGGTAGAGATGAGCTTTACTCGGCTGAGGAGTAGCATCCGATCCCTTATTTTCTTCTGGTGCACCCATGAAATTCCTTGTTGTATAGATGATTAGGTGACTTTTGCAGGGATTCGTATTTTCGTGTAGGTTTTTCTTCGTTTTGGTCTACTTGATCAAAAAAAGTTCTTAAAGAGTATCAAGAATCTGCAGCTAACTTGTGCTCGTCCCTCTTGCAATCTTCATAATTCTACATATATCTCATGATTAGTTTCATTATATAGAAGAGAACTGGAAGCTTTCTCGTCAAGGTTAGCAAACATTATTGGGGAAAAATTATATTTCTTCCATTGAAAAAAAAAAGGCAGCCCAGTACACAAAGCATCCGCGTTCATGCAGGGTCCGAGAAAGGGCCGCGCCCTGCTGTCTTCCATTGTGTCAGATTAACTTATATTCGGTTCAACTATTTGGAAAAATGCATTTGAATTCCTTTTCATGACAAATTGTCTTGTTTCCAGTTAATTTCTTTATTTTTCTTTACATGAGCAAATGTGACTTACGTATAAAGTACATGAGTAAGTGTTCGCAGTACAAAAGAGGAATCTTGGTATATCAGAAAGTATGCGAAACAAAAGGAGCTTTGCCGAAGTGTTACGGAACAAATCAAACATTTGGGAGACCACAGGTCGAAATCTCGGCAGAGACAAAAAGAATAATTTCTTCCCATCTGTTCCCTAGTGGGCAGAGTTACCAATGGTGAGAGGTAGCAGGTACTAGGTGAATTGATTGAGGCACACATAAGCCTGGACACCACTTAGTATCAAGTACCAAAGATCCATTTTTACGGTTTAATTTCAAATCAGCATTAACATTTAACTGATTTTTTTTTCTTTTTGTGAAAGAACAGTTAACTGAATTTACATCAGTTTCATACTAATATACTATTGAGTAAACTACTTTACAGCATTGATCGGTTGTTTATTGCCGTAGGATTAGTGCTAGAATTAAGAATGGACACAATTTAACATATAGATTAGACGGATCTAACCTATTATGGTTCTTGCAACATGCAGAAGATCAATAATGACCTACTAACAAGAGCTAGATATCACTAAAAAAGGGCAGCCCGGTGCACTAAGCCCGCTATGCGCGAGGTCCGGGGAAGAGCAGGACCACAAGGGTCTATTGTACGCAACCTTACCCTGCATTTCTGCAAGAGGCTATTTCCACGCTCGAACCCGTGACCTCCTGGTCACATGGCAGCAACTTTACCAGTTACGCCAAGGCTCCCCTTCAAGAGCTAGATATCACTAAAGAAAAAAAAAATTATATTCCCATTAGACTGGAGACGCAGGATAAGAGAATGCTTCAAAGGTAATCCAGATCCCTAAATTACTCAAACATGGAATTTTGAAGACACGCTTTCCTTGTTAATGCATTACTGCCTAGGCAGCATGACAAAAGATCTGCAGTGTTCTTGTTAAATTGATTGAAAGATTAAAATAAAATTGCAGAAAATATTTGACTGAAAATAAAGAATTTAAAACAAGAGAAAATTCCTCCATGCAGGCAGAAAAAATTACCTCCCAATTTTGCCGGTAAAGCACCTCTTGTTTCCTTTTTGGTGCAAGTGATTTTAATCTGCAATTACAAAAAGTTTGAAATTTACAAATAGGAAGATACCTCTCTTAAAGAGAATGCTTTAACTTAGACAAGGAAAGTGGTCTGCATCACATAACCGATTGTGGTGATTCAACTAACGTTAGATGGACTCTTCATTTGCCTCTGTGTCGATCAGTTGTTATGCGTATTACGTGCAAATCCTCAAAATACTCTAAAATCATGATAAAAGTTGAATCTACCGACAACGGATACTTATGCCCGCAGCAAATACATATCCATACCCAAGTCCATATAACGTAGGAGACAACAGAGAATAGAGGAGAAGAGAAGAAAAACCAGAAACTTTTACACCAACAGCAACTGAGAGAGAGAGAGAGAGAGAGAGAGAGAGAAACAGACTGAGACACATAACAGAGAGGGTAAGAAGTGGTGGATTGCTAAAACCATGGTGCAACAAGAATGTGTGCATAGGTATACAATGTCTAACGTTAGTTAAAACCGTAAGAACAGATTAACAAGCCAGAGCATCATACACAATATCCTCAGGCATATCTTTTAAGGAGAACAGAGGAGGTAGTAAAATCATCAAATCCTCCTGATCGACATCCATAAGACCTCCCTTCTCTACAAGCAGTAAACTCAAGAAATTAGGTATTGGAACAGAGGATTTCCCACATTTTGAAATTGCTGGAATAATGAGAGAATGGCTGACCAAATTTAGGTTCCACCTCTGCCCACTGTCTCTTTTTTCTTCTGGCAACATCAGCCTGAACGGCAAGAACATGCTGATAGTCTACCATTCCTTTGAAAGCAGCACAATTGTGCACGCAGAAGAAAAAAGGGGAACAAGAAATTATAAAGTTAATATGTGCTCAAAGAAAAGCAGAAAGACAAACTGGGGAACATGAAGTGGTCTAACATTAAATATCAGTTCTCACCATTAAAATGATAAGCTTCAGCAACATGAGAAACAATATTAGCTGAGAGATGCTCCTGCAATTTAGTAGCATTCTGCACTTCAATTTCTTTTGAAGCACTAGCAGGAAAACATCTAGACTCGTTAACCTTTTCTGCAGCTAATGAATGTCCAACACGAGAAATTTCTTGTTCGCAATTAACAGGACTCCCTGAAGATTGTATCAATATTCCACAACTACTGTCAGCGGTTTCGACATCCCTTACTTTAGTCTTGGATATTTTCAACAGGAAATTATTTCTATGCCTAAGCTCCCCAAAGGCAGGGTGTGAATAAGGATCTTCTGGCCGGAAATGGAGCTCCAGCTTATTTGACTGTGAAGTTCGAGCCTGAAATTACAAGGAGTGTCAGCAACAATCAGATTCTAAGATTAATTGACATCAAATTTACCACATGTCTATAAAGCGAATTAGCCAGCCATTAGTATAACTATTAGTTCACAAACATCAGGGTGCTCCATAAAGTGCTTCTTTTGGAGTAAATTTCCACTACTCATGAGTTACATTCTTAATGCATGAAACCTAGGACTACTTACATCAATTTTCAACTTTTTTTATCAAGTGGTAATGAAAAAGGGTAGCAAGCGGAATAGAATTTGAAACAATATTTAATGAGCAATCTCAAAGGAATCCATTATGACATGCACCATTAGTACCACCAGCTGAGTAACTTTATAGAGGCAGGCTCGGTCCTTTTTTTTCTTTTATTGGGCTAAAGCAGTTAGGAATGTTTTCAAATTTCCACCATCACCAGGTGAAAAAGGACAACTAAGTTCTCACTGCTCCCGGAAAGTGAATTAGACAAGTGGAACTACTAAATGAACTTGCTCTTCCTTGACCGGATTTGCAAAGCAAAAAAGAATTAAAAGAAAAGGTACTCATAATAGCACAGAATGTGACTAAGAATTGAACTTTCAAATTCCAATGCGGGTAATTTGCAAAAGTTGTACATACAACAAAATGTGTAATACCTTGACAATGCCTTGAATGCCGCCAAGAGTCTCAATGGCACGTTCCATTGAAGAAGGGTAAGCAGGGTAATGAACAGCAAAGACCTTGTTACTGGGTAAAATTCCTGATACTGAACCATCTTTTATAATCCCCATAATCTGTTATAAAACCAGCAAAAACAAACTCATTTGCTTCACACAGCAAAAATTTTGGTTTTCTGAGAAATAGTCTTTACCTGGTGTGGAGAGGAGCTATGGGGTAGAGAGGAAAGTGTTTCTCTGAATAAGTGTTTATATACTGCTGCTTCTGCTTGCCGCTCTGTTCAGTCAAAAAACTTCCGAGTTTCCAAAGGGTAGAGATTTAATCCAGACACAAAATTTTCCATTATTAATACTACTGGGCAGACCCAATGACTTTTCCATGGACCTGTATTTTTGTATTGAAAGCTAGCAAATGGGGCTTGGGGAAGACACGCGTTATTTTGTGATTTTTACTACATTTTTTTTTTTAAACACACGCCAAAAAAAAAAAGAGGCCTACTGCTGTTTCCTTTAGAATTACTCCACCATTTTTCCTTTTTAATACCAAAACTTAAACTTTCACCTTTTTAAAAAATTTCTTTAGTTTACTTATTATTGTATATTAGCTTTAGATCACGATTCTGTCTTAAAATTTGCTTCAACTTCTAACTCCGCTTCTGAGGCAGTATCCACAAAAATATATTATAGGTAGCTTATTTGGCGAAGTTTTTGAGAAGTCAATCGTGCTTATTTTTTTTCTTTTTAAAAAAAATAACTTCTAAAAATATAAGTATTTTCTTTAGTAGATGAAGTTATTTTTGGGAAGCTAAGAAAAATAGTTTTTTCCTAAACCACTTTTGAAAGCTTGCTCAAATTGTTGCCTAATATTGGTAAAAATATTTTTAAAATTGATTAGTCAAATAAATTGTTATTTTTTAAATATATAGAAAACATAATTTTAAAAAAAAATATTTTTAAGAAAAAGTATTTTTTAAAGTAAGATTTTAAAAGATTGGTCAAGCAAGCAAATAGTCTATTTGAAACACACAAAAATGACAGTGTAAAATATGTCAAGTTGGTTAGATAGTCTCGATTGATTTGCGGTCATGGGATTGACAATCGGTTGTTTGACTATTTCTCAAGTATTGCTTGTGTTACTTTTTTTCGCAGGAAGACATCATTTATCGGATTCCTTTTAAGAAAAAGACATATTAGGAATCAATTTAGATATTAGACTTGAATAAAAGAGATAATTGTACTTATGATCTCTCATTTATTATTGATAATTTTGATTTTAGTCCTTGTAATATTTGATAAAGTATATTTTTAATCTATAATTCTGTAAAAGAAAATACTGATACCTATTTAAATAAAACGAATATTTTTTGTCTCTCTATATAGGAAATATGTGATATCAAAAAAATCTTATTAAAACATTATTGATCTTAAAAAGGAGTAATAGTATAAATTTAAATAACATATTGATAATTAAATAATTTAACACTTAACAATTCTTTAAATTTGTAAAGATACACATTTAAGGGATAAAATACACATATCAATTAATTTAAGATTAATTGTGTTTAACCAAAAATCACAATGACCAATATTAAAATTTATGCAAATTTGAAAAACTAAAAACTCAAATTTTCCTCAGTAAAATTTCCTCGATTCTCTAACTCCTCCAGGCGCCATTTTCCATTGCACTTTTGGTAATTGATTGGTGCCTAATGTCATTCAAGATTTGTAAAATATGTGGTATTTATATCATTGCAAATTTTAGAGCCTGTTTGGAGGTTAAAAATTACTTTTTTGTTAGAAAAAATACTTTTCTGAAAATTTGATGTATTTGGCGAAATTGGAGAAGTGCTTTTGAGCAGTACCGTTATCAATTTTTCTGCTTTTAGGAAGTGTTGTGATATATACTATTAACTATAGGTTTGGATATATATTTATTATGAAAATATTGTTTATTCAATTTTAATAATAACTTAAATTGATTATGTATTCATATATGTTTACTTATATAGTAAATGATTTAGTGTATAGAATTTAGCTTATACACGAAAGATTAAATCACCTTATAAGTATAAAGGTTATGTTCCCAATCTAAGATGAAATTGAACAAATCATTGGAATGATTGTAGCACAAAATTAAATATAGTTTATCTTGATTATAGAATACTTCTTATGCTAGTTTATTTTATATATTGAACGGACCAAGTAGAGACAAGTTTTTATACTGACTTCATAAAATAAGTCTCTAGTCTATTAAATGTATTTATACTCTTAATCTTTATATAATTATTATTAGTTGTGTATATTATTTATTATTTTAATTTATTAAAAGGCGAGATTCTTTAGTGGGTCAATATGCCTGGTAAATTGGACAATAATCATATGCATTGGAGAAGTAATAGTTAGTTGATGGAATTCATGTCTCGCCTAGAGATTGATGATGCACCTTTATGAAAGCTTATAAGTTTCAATGTGTAACCTGCATGTAGATTTTGTATCCATCACATGAAATAAGTTAACTAAATGTCTAAAGAAAATAATCAATGAATTAAATTGTCTGTAATTTAATTTATTTGATTAGTATCTGAATCTTAATATGAGGAGTTAAATAAGGTCTAGTGAAAGAATTTCGAAATTAAACTGAGGAGTGCAATTACGAATTTTTAGTGGAATAATTCGTAATTTATTATGGTAATATTAATTCAAATATCTTGAATTAAGTCCATAATAGGAAGCCTCGTTACTTAAATTTTGTGGTCCCTGTTGTGCCTGAATACTTAGGAATTAAATGGAATCTTATTTCTTGGTGAAAAAGGAAGACCCAACAGGTTTAGAAAAAGGTTTTAAACCCTAAAATCTATGGCTATATAAAAGGGTCTTATTCCATAAGGAGGCTATGATTTTACTACACTTTTTTCATGGAAAAAATTCGCCCACGCGAATTCGCAATTTCTGGTATTATCTAGGTAACAATAGAAGACCATGGAACTGGAGGATGATCTCTTGGACATTTTTGCTCATGCATGAAGATATTTTCGCAATCGCGGTCATGCTTTAAGAGATAAGTACCGATTTTTATTTCGATTAGAAGTTGTGATTGTGTATTGTCTATATTACATGCAAGTGATGCTAATTATTTTTTTTAGCAAACATACCACTAGGTTGGATGCCTAATGGTTTATATATATATATATATATATATATATATATATATATATATATATATATATATATATATATATATATGATAATTCAAAACAGGGATCCAATGTTTACAATTTGTCCAAAACCAAAATTAAAAGATGTAAAGCTAAAGCTAAAGCTAAGAAGTATGCAAATGTTAGCTATTACAACAGATATCATAGTCAACTCCCAACATATGGTGGTGTGTGTATCCACAAGCCAAGGGCAAAACCACAAAGTAGCACCTTTAACGCTCTCACCAAGAGCCAAGTTTTGCATTCCAAACGACATGGCAAATGTGAATCTCCAACCAACACCATCCACTTCTAGAGCTAACCTACCTTCCAAGTATCATATGATTGCTTTGAAACACAGCATGTAGTTCTATTTTCTGGACTTCAAGACGTAGCATGATCGATCGTCATTTTCGGTACTAATGAACAGTTTCAATTGACGGCAAAACCATGTAGTTTGATCCAGCTTCATGCTCAATGACCTAGGCTGCCAGTGAACATAAGTGTAGAAGCTTATTTCCTGCATTACAAAACTATCCCAAGCACTATCATGGCAACTCCAGACTGGGCATGTAACCATGCCAATACCACTGAAAACTGCCATAACAGTACCTAGATCCTCAAGAATAGACAAGTAACTTGTTAACCTGCTGGATTCCTGCTTGAATGTACCATTTGAGCCTTCTGAAGATTGTGTTAGTGTAAGGTAAAGTTCAACCTGCAAACTTAACCTGTCTCCAAGCTTAACAAAAACATAGCAGTAGCTTTGCTAATAAGTGCAATGTCTTATTGATCCCATGAGTGAATCTTTGCACAGACACTTATCCCCTATTCCTATTTGTGTTTCTCATCTTCCAAAGTTCCCAAGTAAGATTACATGAGTTGCATTATATAGAGGCTTTAACTTTGGACAACAATCAGCATTCCATCATGCCCTAATCACCTGATGTACCTGCACCAATGGAACAGTGATCCCAGCAGCATTAGAAAGGTCCTCCACACCTTATTTGCAGTACTCCAGTCATGAAAAGATGATTATCCTCTTGTGGTGCTGTGCAGCACCAACACCTGGACATATAAATGTACTCTTGCCTTCTCCAAATATCATCTATAGCCAGTTTGAATCTCCATAACCTCCAGAGAAAGAAAGATATCTTGAATGACAGTCCCTTTATCCACATATTTTTGAATTCAGGAATAGGATTTGCCCTATGCCTTACAAGATGCCAAGCACTACTCACATTAAACCTATAAGAAGTAGTAGGTTTCCACCAAGGCCTATCCCAGAGTTCATCACTTCCTTCAAACCGTACATGTTGCTTGATGTGATCTGCAATGTCTTTTGTAAATGGGTCAATCAACTCCTCATTCCAACCATCTTCTTGCCTTAGTTCAACCACCTCTTCTAACTCCTCATTAATGTGAAAATCAGGAGGCACTAGGTGATACAAAGCTCCTAGACCTGTCCAGTTTTCATGCCAAACATTACTGGTTCCAGCCTTCATCTCCCACCAAATCTCATGCTCCACTTCCTGTCTAGCATTCAACATTTGTTTCCAAATATGTGATCCTTTCTTAATTTGTACTACTGTAGGCAACTCCTTTTTGTAGTATTTATTCCACATGAAATTTGACCACAAAGACTTTGTGGTCCTAAACCTCCACCAGAGCTTTACAAGCAGTGTTAAACCTCCACCACAGCTTTGCAAGCAGTGCTTTGGAGACATCAAACAATGATCTAAAACCCAACCCTTCTTCCTCCTTTGGAAGACACAACTTCTGCCATGATGCCCAATGCCTGCTTATCCCTTCCTCATTTGTACTCCAAAAGAACCTTGCAAACAGTTTATGTAAATGTTCTATGATATTCTTAGGTGGATCCAGTACTAAGAGAATGTGTATAGGCATACTTTGAAGAACACTACCTATCAAGGTAGCCTTACCTCCAAAAGATAGCAGATTCCCTTTCCATGAATGTAACTTAGCCTTCACTTTTTCAGTAAGATCATCATAATACTCCTTCCTCCTCCTGGTATAGAATATAGAGCATCCTAGATAAGTAAAAGGAAAAGCACCTCTAGTGAAGCGTGTGGGATCCCCAACTGTTTGGAACAATGCATTGGATGCCTTAGAGTGCATATTATATGAGCTTTTTGCCTTATTGATCAACTGCCTGAAATCTTCTCATAGTCATTCAACACTGCCATGATCTTCTTCA